TTGACCCAAACAGATAGGTATTGGATTGAACAAACCCAACGCAACCACGCACTCGCGCCCAACCATCCGGACGGACGGCAATGCGTGTGTTTATCTTGGGTCCAATGGATCTAGCCCACTTTGTCCATAACCTCACTCTCTACAAAACTTAAGTGTCCTTTGGGGCTTACCCTAAGTTTCAATCCCAAGCCTTATAAACCCACTCAAAGTTTCTCACCAAATTAATGTGGGACAAATTTTTATTCAAACCTTTAGGAAAATTCACCAAAAATACTATTTCCATAGAGTTTTCTTTGACTTTAATTTTTCATTCGCCAGATAATGGTTTTGAGCAATCAAATATTCAATGCGAATCACAACGAGACATAGAACGCGTTATCATTTAGACCCGCCAAATTTGGTGCATGAATCCCATCTAAAAAATAAATCAAAATTGAGAAAAAAATCTAATTTTCAAAATCATTTCTAACAAAATAGTGTAACTTCAACAAAGGGATAGTTTCTACACAAAATTTTCACACGTATGAGCAATTTATTACACATTGCGTGATTTGTTTGATAACTTTACAAATAGACTACAACCAAACCACCAAAGTGTTATTTATTATAATTATTATTTTTTATAAATTTAGCATAAAACTCAAGAAGGAATGTTTGTTGAAGGCAACGATCCAACCAATAAAGCGTGACACTTTCATCTTTCCAATGTGATGTTTTACTAAAATAAGCTAACAAACATTAAGCTTGCGTTTGGTAGAGTTTTGTAAATATAATTTGAGAGTATGAATTGTATTTTGAGTTTGTGAGTTGTGAAATTATGATTTGAGTGTAGAAAATTTGTTTAGTTATGATTTTTTAATAGAGTGTTGAATTGAGTTTTGAATTGAGTGTGAAATTGAGTTTTGAAAGCTTGATTTGACACGTGAAGTAAGAAAATTTGTTTGATTGTGAGTTTTGAAATTCAAATTATTATAACTCATAACAAAACACACTACTTTCATATTATTAAAAATTCTGATCAACACTCATAACTAAACTCTTTTTAAAATTCAATTAAAAAAATTTATTATTAACAGAAAATAACATTAATCAATTTTTTAATTGAAAATACTACAAAAGAAATAATTTTTTTTCAAAATAAATATTCAAAAAATTTAAATCATAAATATTTAAATAATTTAAATATTCTAAAAAATTTAATAAGTAAAAAATTAAAATAAATATTCAAAAAATTTAAATTGTAAAAATTTAAATAATTTAAATATTCAAAAAATTTAAATAATTTAAAATGTTAATATTTAAATTTAAAAATAACTCTACACTCAAATGGTAATCAAACACATAAAATAAAACTCAATTAAGAAATTATTTTTAAAACTCATAACCAAACACATAACTCAAAGGGAAAATCGGCCTAGGGTCCCTCTCCCACTTTTTGTAATGGAAGAGATCCACAAAATTATTTTTTGATGTCTAAGGTCCCTAAACATATATCAGAGAAATTTCAGTCCTTTATACTATCTTCATCATCTGATCCACCGCCACCCCAACAACCCGACTCTGAGTCCTCCTCATCTTCCAACACTTTCCAAAGCTTTACACAGTGGAGATTCCCACTCCCAAACTCATGCATCTCACACCACTCTTACCCACCACCACCACCGGTGCCGGAATCTGACCCATCACCACCCCGAACCCACCGCCACTCTTACCCACAACCACCGCCTCCATAACTCTTTCACCTCGCCGAGCTCCAACTCACTTCAGACTCCGATTCTGACCGACTCAATGCCCTCCACATGCTTTTTCTCTCGCAGAAGCCATTAACCTACGAACCGTGGTCTCGAACCGAAAAACTGCAGTACAAAGTGAAATGGCTTTTAAGAGGCAGCACCTTTGGACTCCTGAATGTCCAACTTATGCTCTGCTACCATGATACATGAATCTGCTTCCAAAGGTGAGGCCACGCTTTTACCTTTTTTGTGGTGAGTTGAGCATTTCGGTTATGCATTGTACATTAGGTGTTATGCCAACCTGATCTATGTCATGAAGTGCTGGTAATAAATACTTCGCAACAGTGACAATGCAGCTCTGTAATACTCTGTGGCACCAAAAAAAAAAAAAAAAGAAAAAAAAAAAAAAAACCCAGAGAAAAATGAAAAAACACCCACAAAAAATTTCAATTTAGAGAAACTTGAACACCTAGAGAAAATCTCAATCCAGAGAAAATTGAATTTCTCTGGATTTTTGTGGTTTTCTCTAGGAATTGATCAGTGAATTTCTTTGAGTTTTTGTGATTTTCTCTGGGAATTTATCAGTGAATTTCTCTGAGTTTTTGTGATTTTCTCTAGGGTTTGGAATTTAGAATCTTGTGTTTGAATTTCTCTGGTTTCAATCAAGAGAATTTCTCTGATTTGTCTGGTTTGGAGAGAATTTCTCTGGTTTTGGACCGGAGAAATTTATGGGTTTGTAGGTTTGTTAGACATGGGTTTAATTGTAGTTAATAGAGTCAGAGAAATTTGCGAAGTCAGAGAAATTTTATGGTCTTGAGCTCTGCTCTTCTTTGACAATGGCTCCGGTGAGGAACAAACCAACACCGAAGCTGATGCTGATGATGCCATGGCCCATGAGTCGTTTAGGCTGTCGGAGCTGAAACAAACATCTGCGACACAATTGGGGTTGCCGGACATTGATTGGAACTTTTGTTTGTTGGATCGGTGAATCCCTGATGTTGATTCTAGCATTAGCTTATGGAAATCCTCCATTTTGTCTTGTTTTCAACATACGGGTATGTACATAAACTATCAAGATTCAAGAACACAATGATGGAAATAATTGGAATAGATCAATGCATTGACAAGAAGGTACAAACCTTGTAGATTTGAAGAATACCCAAGAGCTAGTTTTGGTATTCTACTGCGAGACAGGGCTTTAGATTACTGAAATTTCTTTGGATCCTGTTAAAGGACCTTAGACATCATGGAAATATTTGATATCCTTTATACTATGAGGTCTTAATATTAGGGACCTTAAAAAAAATTCCCCTAACTCAAAACTCCATACTACTTTCACGACTCTACACTCAAATTGTAACCAAATATATAACAAAAAAATTAAAATATTTAAAAATATTTTTATAAAATAGAGTTTGAATTTATTTTTATAAAATATTTTAAAAATTAAAATCGTAATATTTTGAAATTAAAATATTTAAAAATATTCAAAAAATTAAAAAATCATAACATATTTAAATATTAAAATATTTAAAATCTTAACAAAATTAAAATATTGATTTGAATTGAGTTTTGAAAAGAGTTTTGAATTATGTGTTTGGTTATGAGTTTTGAAAAGTAATGATTATATTTTGAATTAAGTTTTGAGAAATGAGAGTAGAATTATGATTTGAAAGCTCAAAACAAACAACACACTCAAATCAGTGGGTGAAACTATAATTCAAAACTCTTACCAAACAGAGCCTAACATGTGCTATTCAAATAAGCATACATAACAGTGGACAAACATATTCAAATATGATTAAGGTCTCGATTGGCTGAAAGTAAAAAAAAAAAAAAAAAGTTTTTTGAACCAATCACAAGAGACCCCAGCATCCTCACTGGGGATCTCATGCATTTTCCGATACGGCATCGCTGGGGACCTCCAGCACCCCCACTTCCACGTGGGGGGCTGCCAGACCGAGACTCAGAAAAAAAAAAATTTTTTTTGGACCAATCACACTCCACTAGACGCCCTGGGGTTACCCCCAGCGGGGGGGTCTGTCACTTTTTCCGAAACGATAACAATTAGAACAATGTCAACAAACAAAATTTTAATACAACAATATGGGTTGCTCCATAATTATTGGAACAAACACCGTGTGCTGCATGATGGTTGTTAACGATTAGTAACATCCGATTACTGCATAATAATCAATCCGTGATAACAATTATAGCCAAAGATCTAGCATCGTATTATTTGTTGGAGATCTCAACAATAGTTGGAACGATAACAATTAAAACGGTAATAACAAACAAAGTTTTGTTACAACATTTTGCTCCGTATTCATTTGAAATGGATTATTAGGGCTTATTGGGGAAATGATTATTTTAATTAATTTTTTATTTTTTTATAAAAAAATGTGTAAAAAAATAAATAAAATAATGTGATCATTCATAATGATTTATAATTAAAAATTTCTAATGGAAAGAATTTTAAATTTATTTATTATTATCTGAATTTTGAAATATATTTTGTAAGACTGACAACAAATAAAAAATAAAAAAATGAATTGTTGAGGATAATTTTGATACCACATAAAGTGGGTGTTTGGAAAGTGAATTTTTTTGTAGGTTTTTTTAGTTGTAGGATATTATTGGAGAAATTTTTTTTTGTGTGTTGGGAAGATAGTTGGGTTTTTTTATAGTTGGACGTGATGTTTGTGAGAGAAAAAAAGTGAATGATTATGGGGTTTGATGTGATATTTTGTTTGGATTTATTTTTTTGATTTTGTAACCAAAATTGTATTTTAGTGAAAAAAAATAAAAAAAACCAAAAAACCAAGTTCCCAAAAGTGTTTTGGGAAGTTTTTTTTGGCTTTTTTGTTTTATCTTATTTTCGTCTTTAGTGAATTTTTCTTAAATTTTTTTAGATTTTTCGATTCAGCTCGATAAGACAAATTGAAAAATTATAATTTTTTTAAAAATTCAAAAAAGACAAAAATAAACTAAAATAAATATTTTTTTTTGGTTTTTTCTTGTCTTTAGTCATTTTTATTTTTTTTAATTTTTTCATCTTGATAAGACCAATCAGGAAAAGAAAAATTTTTAATCACCAAATATAAAAAATCAGGAAAAGAAAAAATTTTAATCACCAAATATAAAAAAAATTAAAAAAAGAAGTGATTTTTTTTTTCTTGGTTGTCAAAATGTGTCAAAATTGAAACCGACTTAAAATAATAATAATAAATAATAAGTTGATAAAAAAAACAAAATGTTGAAGCGGACAAAACACATCAATTTGGCGTGATCGTTCTTATATCGATTAGCAAGTACAAACTATATACGGAGGGAGAATAAGAATAAAGTTATACAGGCATTTGGATATTGTTGCGATCGAATTGGCTTCGCGATCTCAATCTCAACCTCTCTCTCTCTCTCTCTCTCTGCGCCGAGGCGAAGAAGACGCCGGAGACGATCAAATATTTGTCTGTAAGGTTAGGGTTTCAATGCCTCTGATTTCACTAAAAAATTCTTCAAAATTCCCCAAATTCTTTAGTCTCGTTTGTGATTCTTACTGTGTTGGATTTTTGTATAGTTCATAAATTTTGTTCGATCATATCATGCAGATCTATATGTATTCATATAAGCCTCTTGATACAGGCGATGCATGTGGAAGTAACCGTCAAGAACGTGAAAGTTTATATTTACTGTGTTGGACTTTTGTGTAGTTCATAAATTTTGTTTGATCATATGTATATGTGGATGTATATATATGCATATATGCCCCAGGCGATGCATGTGGAAGTAACCGTCAAGAAGGTAGAAATTTTAGAAATTACCTTTACTTGGATAATTGTTGACAATTGTGGAGGATAATTTTGAAAAGAACACCAATTGGGGTGTTTAGATATTGTAATAGTATAGATATTCTTCACAATGTCCCAATTTTTCCGTCTCATTTGTGATTCCTCTGTGTGCGTGTGTGTGCGTGTGTGTGTGTGTTTTTTTTTTTTTTGGAATTATTTTTAGATTTTCTGTGTTGAACTTTTGATCATATGTGTGGATATATATATATATATATATTCGTACACTGCAGCTTGATACAGGCAGTGTATGCGCAAGTAACAGTCAAGAACATGAAAGTCTTAGAAACTACCTCTACTTTGATAATTGTAAGCAATTGTGGAAGATGAATTTGAAAAGATCAGGATGTTCACATTCATAATTATAATAATTTAGGTATGATTCTTCAAATTTTCTCAAAATTGTCTGTCTCATTTGTGACACTGATTCCTGTTTTTCAATCATTACTAGTGGTGGGTGCAAACACAATCCGTTCTCAACTATATATACATACTATATATTTTTGATGATTTGATGAATGGAGAAGATAAGTTAAATTTGATAACTCCTGGTAGTTATTTTATGAAACAGTTAACAAATATTGCCAATTTTGAAAAAATAAAAACCGGTACAAAGCTTCAAAACCTTGCGAGTTGTTTGCTTTATATAATAATATAGATAGTATATATACATATTTTTTTTGCTTTACTGTATTGAACTTTTGTTTATAGTTCATAACTTTTATTTGACCATATTTGCGGGTGTACCATGTACATATGCTTATACACACAATGCATGTGCAAGTAACTGTCAAGAATGTGAAAGTTTTAGAAATCACCTGTACATAATTGTAAGCAAGTTTGAAGGATGATTTTGAACATGAAAAGCGTTACATACCATTGTTCACACAAAGTGTGTGTTACATATTATAATAGTATAGACATTGTTCAAGGTTTCAGAAATTCTTACCCACTCATTCGTGATTCTTGTTTTTTAATTATCTATACCATCTATACTATATTATTATTATATAAAGCAAAGGCTTTAGTTGGTGTCCTGAAGCCTTTGCTTCTCTTTATGCCAAGTGTCACATTTCTCTATGTGAAAAAAACAAAGCCTCGCTTTGTATTCGAGGATGGGAGGACTTGAATCTAATATACGCTTACCAGTTGAGCAGCACACAACATATAGCGAATTTTTTGTTTTGTTTTGTTTTTATTTATTCGAATTGCACACGTATCACGTGTTCCAACCGCTAGATATTGTCATATGTGGGTGTACATAGATTCATATAGCCTATTGGTGTACACAATGCACAAAAGACTAGACTAGGAAGGCTAGCTACTAAGCTAGGTTCCAATCCTGATCACCTCTAAAAGAAATTTGCTGTTGAAGTTCTTACGAGACCATAACAAAAAAAAATTTGATAGAGATTTTCAATATAGACACTGACATGGGCAAAAAGGATCTTCATTACATCATTTAATGGTCTTAAAGCAGTCATGTGAATTTATCATTATCTCATATTAAGAAAAAACAATTATAATTATTAATGTGATTTTCTATAGTCGTGATGAAATGGAGATCCCCCATTACAAGAAGAGGATCTCAATCTTATATAGAGGGCACGTGAGAGGCGAATGTCCATTTTGAAAAATCAACTTTTTTAAAGTACTACCAAAAAAAGTTGGATTCCCCAAAAGGGACCATTATTTTGGGACAAAGGGAGTATATATTTTTGATGATTTGATGAATGGAGAAGATAAGTTAAATTTGATAACTCTTGGTAGTAATTTTATGAAACAGTTAACAAATATTGCCAATTTTGAAAAAATAAAAACCGGTACAAAGCTTCAAAACCTTGCGAGTTGTTTGCTTTATATAATAATATAGATAGTATATATACATATTTTTTTTGCTTTACTGTATTGAACTTTTGTTTATAGTTCATAACTTTTATTTGACCATATATGCGGGTGTACCATGTACATATGCTTATACACACAATGCATGTGCAAGTAACTGTCAAGAATGTGAAAGTTTTAGAAATCACCTGTACATAATTGTAAGCAAGTTTGAAGGATGATTTTGAACATGAAAAGCTTTGCATACCATTGTTCACGCAAAGTGTGTGTTACATATTATAACAGTATAGACATTGTTCAAGGTTTCAGAAATTCTTACCCACTCATTCGTGATTCTTGTTTTTTAATTATCTATACTATCTATACTATATTATTATTATATAAAGCAAAGGCTTTAGTTGGTGTCCTGAAGCCTTTGCTTCTCTTTATGCCAAGTGTCACATTTCTCTATGTGAAAAAAACAAAGCCTCACTTTGTATTCGAGGATGGGAGGACTTGAATCTAATATACGCTTACCAGTTGAGCAGCACACAACATATAGCGAATTTTTTGTTTTGTTTTGTTTTTATTTCTTCGAATTGCACACGTATCACGTGTTCCAACCGCTAGATATTGTCATATGTGGGTGTACATAGATTCATATAGCCTATTGGTGTACACAATGCACAAAAGACTAGACTAGGAAGGCTAGCTACTAAGCTAGGTTCCAATCCTGATCACCTCTAAAAGAAATTTGATGTTGAAGTTCTTACGAGACCATAACAAAAAAAAATTTGATAGAGATTTTCAATATAGACACTGACATGGGAAAAAGGATCTTCATTACATCATTTAATGGTCTTAAAGCAGTCATGTGAATTTATCATTATCTCATATTAAGAAAAAATAATTATAATTATTAATGTGATTTTCTATAGTCGTGATGAAATGGAGATCCCCCATTACAAGAAGAGGATCTCAATCTTATATAGAGGGCACGTGAGAGGAGAATGTCCATTTTGAGATGTGTATCATAAAATTTGCAATATATGTTTATATATGTAAATATATACATATATATATATATATATTTTTGATAAATTGTTTATATATGTATATATACTAGAAGGGTAAGCACACTACGTGTGCAATCAAAATGATTATGGTAGTTGTGAATCTCTCTCTGTATGTTATTCTTTGTGAGTCTGTATATTTGTCCATAACTGCTTTTGTGGGTATATAAAGGTAGTTATACAGAGTTATAAGGGGTATTTGGGAATAGGGCAAAACCGTGACATAAACACCAAGTCAAGCCTTTGCTTTGTATGATAGAATAGAAGAATAGATAGAATGGACATATATGATTTTTAGTTTTCCATATAAAGAGAGAACTCTTCAACAAATTATCAGTTCTAGCTAGTTATCAAACATCACCAGCTAACTTCCGGTTTCTATATCTGTGCTTGTGTCCAATTTTGTTTACTTATTTTTATGATGGGTAAATATAACCGCACCTTTTGATTGGTTCTAGTACTTTGGTTCTTTTATTAAAAGCTTATCCTTAATTTAATAAATTACCCAACCTATACTTCATGCTATTGCTCTCTTTCATCACACATCGCTGACTTTGACACTAGAGGACAACAGTTTGCTTTTCCAACCTGTGTCAAACAACTCTGTCAATGAGAGCTCTTGGGAGTCATCAGCCTATTATCCCCGGCCTACCTTTGATCTGTTGAGCGATAACCCGTCCACACAGGACTCCCGGATCACTATGGCCGACTTTTGTCTTTGTTCAACTAGTCGGGTCTCACATTTAGGTAGGCTTATACCATTATGCTCAAAGGTAGAATCTTAGCTTCAGCCTACCTTCGCACACCTCAGTTACTCTTTAGGGGATAATTTTGAAAAGGAAAAGCGGTAAGTACCACGTTCACACTAACTGGGTGTTTACACATTATAATAGTTGACATTGTTCAAAATTTCCCATTCGTGATTCTTGTTTCTTTAATTATTTTATTGTTATTATTTTTAGCTTTATTGTCTTGGACTTTTGTGTAGTGCATGGTAATTTTTATTTGATCATATACATGGGTGTACATAGATTCATACTAGCCTAGCCGCGTACGCAATACATGTGTAAGTAATCATCAAGAACATGAAGAACATGAGAGTTTTAGAAACTCTCTCTACTTTGATAATTGTAAGCAATTGTGGAGGATAATTTTGAAAAGAAAAAAGCGTTACACAAGTCATTCAAACCAACCGGCGACAAATTTTTTTTAAATTATTTTTATTTTTTCACTTTCCTTATTGATGTGGCTGTTTGGTATGAAAACAAGCAAGATCGGCGTTACAAATTTTTAGATTTCTATACCGAAGCTAGGGAATGCCATACACCAAGTCTCATGGTTAGCCTTTTAAAGCAGTTTTGCAATTGGTTGCAATAAGGACAATTGAAAGAATTTTGGTAGCTGGACCAAATTGCCTCTTTGCTGATTAGATTGTATATGGATGTGGCATAGTTTCTTATCATTCTTAATGGATGTTTTGGGCTGCATTTTTATGTTTTAATGTCAATGTTTAGCGGACAATACCTCTTAAAAATAGCAAGGTCGAGTATGCAATTTACTAGGTCATCTGATTCATCATCCCTAGAAAGGGTTAGGCTCTTGTTTAACGCAATTATTGCATAATATACTTTGGTGTCCAGCCCGGACTCATCCTGTTACCTTAATATGGTTCAACCATTTAATTTCAGCTTAAGCTGTTGAGTGTTATGTGAACTTATGATGCAATGTAGATAATTATATAAGATGCAGGAAATTGTTAGGAAAGTTCAGAAAATGTTGAGCACTTTTTTTTTGTGTGTGGATATTTGTCATCTAGAATGAATTTATATGTAGCGAAATACACATGAAGATGGCTTCCTAAAAATTCTTCCTCATATTCCTCACTTCGCTTATGAAATTTAATAAAATAAAAAAAGTAAAAGCAAAACCTTCGTAAAGTTTATGAAATATTCAATTTTAACCCCTTAACCCTCAACTCCGTTGCATAGGATATTTTTGAAAAATTGATATGTTTTATTAAATAGAAATATTTTATAATTTGGTTATTGGCTCTGAACCTTCAAGAAATTGTAGCCTCCCCAGAAAGGTTTGAAATTGGTTGCCTGCTTGTTCTCTTCACTCAACACACAAATTTATGTTTAGGAGCAGAACTTGGAAGTGTCATGTTATAGGTATACTCATTCTACCAAATTTCTCATTTTTGTCTGGAAATTTTTTTTTAACCTGGCTAAATGTATGAAATGAGACATTTCAATAAAGTTTAGATTTGTTAGACTTTTGGTTTATTTTCTCTCGTGGGTATTATAATGGATTATTCTATGGAGAAAATGCAACTTGTAATATTGCATGGTTACAAACGCCAATACAAAAGAAGGAATGCTAGGATCATATAAATGTTATTGATAAATGAGGGAAAATTTGTCACTTCATTCTCATTATGTGAATATTTTGTTAATGCTCACAAATTTTCGAAGTGCATGCCGAATATCTAATTCTAGTGTCTGTCTGGATTAATTGGAGGTGAATTGAGATGATTCCATGTTTACTTTGATCCAAGTAGGAAGTATCTGTCTGGCTTATATCACTTGAAAAAAGTTGGGATTGAAGTAGGGAAACAGAGTAACAACTTAGACAGATTTATCTAGTATGTTGATTATGGAATTAAATGCTGAAATCTGGGATATTTTGTTGAGAATCACCTTTACTGTAATGTCCTGAATTGGTATTGCAGCGAACAACTTACTTAAAATGCCTTGCCTACATGATATTTGCTGTGACTATTACGGAGATTTTTATCTTTGCAGACCCAGGCTTGATTTTGTCTTCACTAATATCAGTTGCCATACACTTCTAGGAATGGAGTATATGATTTCAAAATTGCATCCACAGGATTCTTTCCCTTCTGGTCTCAATTGTTTTGTAGAGTTTAGAGAATTGTGTGTTTGTATAAAGATACAGTGGTATAGCTTGTTAATGTATACTATACACCCTCAATTTCAGTTCTTTTTCTAAATATATTTTACTTATCTAAAACAAGAAATGACGATGTGATGTTATGCAATTATGTTGTATAAGTTCTATGTTCAGTCCTAGAAGGTTGTATGTGGGTGGGCAGATTTAAATTCAAAGGGATTTTGGATTCCAATTTGCAATTATATAGGACGATTTATTTTGGAGACCTAAGGAGGTGGATAAAATAAAATTCATTAGAGTGGTGATATACAAACAGAAAATATATATTATACATAATGAGTGAGCTGGGTTTTGAGCCTATCACTTTAGAACAAAGAGCCCATTGACGTGCCTTTAATTACACAAATGGCACTGTTACATCATTCTGGTGCAAAATCCGGAATAAATGTTCTGGTGTGTTATGTACTTGAGGGTATTAGTGTCATTGTACTTGTTCTCTTATTATTATAAATACAAGTGCTTAGTGAGGTAAAAAACCTAATTAGGTTTAGTGCCTCTTCTAGCAAATCTCTCTCTCTCTCAACTATTATGCTACAGTTTTAACTTGGTATCAGAGCAGGTTCTTATTCTTTGTTCTTCTATTTTTTTTCTTTATTTTTTATTCTTTTATTCTTTCTGTTCCTATCGCATAATGTAAAAAAAATAAAAAATCCCTACCATGATCGACTAGGATGTGGGGGGGGGGGGGGTTCTCAGAAAAGTTTTCAAAAATTTTTGTTCTTGGTTGCTTACTTTTTCCCACTTTTTTTTTTTTTCTTTCATTGTTTTTGGAATAGTAGGCCTATTTTTTCGATTTCTGCCTTCCGCTGTTTTTGCTTCAATCCAACCCTTGGGCTGCCTTCTCTGGCAGCCGTATCTGGATGGTGTTTGATTGATTTTCAGCCCCTCGGTGCTTCGGTTGATTGCTTTTGGGTCTCCACAGGCTTGTTTTTGGTCTCCTGCTTCAGTGTGATTGTCTTTTTTGCCCTATCCTTGCTGCTGTTATTGGGTTGTGGCTGGATTATTCTTTGGGTGTGCTCACATTTTTTAGCATTTTTCAAATGGTTATGATCCTTGTGCATCTAGAAATCCGTTTTGGCATGTAATTTTTTTTTGGCAATTATTGTATCACTATCTTTTTGTGAAATTGGATTTTTTTCATTTCCATTTGGTACAGTTGCTCAATTACAGCAGTAGAATATGGTTTAGAAGGGGATTATATTAAATGCTTCTTTAGCTCTTTTTCTTTACTTGTTTTAGTTTATTGCCATGTTGCACATATTTTTTCACATTATAAGCCTTTTAACTCTCTCTCTCTCTCTCTCTTCCTTTGGTTCACAGCATCATGCCAAGTACGAGAAATGCTTCATATGCAACAAGTATACCAATGGCATATTCAACACCGCTTATGAGATAAAGAAAAAGATGGCTGCCAAGGGAGTGTAAATAATGTTGCTGAGCGTGGTATTGGGTTACGGCTTGCTGAGCATGGTATTTGGTTACGGCTTGCTGAGCGTGTTACTGGGTTATGGCTTTGGTATGTACGTGGAGTACCCCACTCACTGAATGGTGCAAGTCAACTTTTCACCTGATCTTCCTTGATGGTATTAGATTCAGAATTACATTGAAATGCATGTATACATCCACAACTGAGCTAGTGTAATCTGATTTCCACAATGATAAGCATTTTGTACAAATTCAGGCATGCGAGTTGATTGTCAGATCTTTTCCTTTTTTCCTTTATAGATTTGGAATTCTTTTTTTTTTTTTGTTTTCTTTTCCTTTTCTGTTCACAATCGTATGCATAGTAAATGTGCTTTGTTAGATAGTGTACACCGCCATCCAAGCCCTGGATCTTTGGTTCAGTTAGGAGGTGAAGTATTTGTTTTGGTCCAATTAAGTGTTTACTGATAACGCTAGAGTTTTACATTTTAGAACACATTTTTAGAACACACATTCTGAAACATGATTCATTTTCATTCCAAAATAGAAATTTAGCGATGCAAAGTGATCTCAAATTCTTCCTATATATTTTGTGAAGAGTTTCTCATATAAAGAGGAATTTTTTTTTTCTCAAATATAATGAACTAAAATTTAGACTGGTCATAATACTTTTAGAATTGTGTTTTTACATGATTAATTCTAGAATTATGTTTTTACACGATTAATTCTAGAATTATATTTTCACATGATTAATTTTCAAATTGTGTTTTTACACTATCAATTCTAGAATTGTATTTGCAAAGCTGCTTGTAGACGTGTTCTGTAAGCAGATGAGAACACTCGCAAAATATTTCTGATATGTAAACCATCTTGTGAGTGTAGTTTGCGTACAAGTATATATATATACATGTCATTGGAAGTGTGAGCAACTGTACCTTTATAAATTTGTGGATAACGTACGTATACAATTGTCACTAGGAAGTGTAGGCAACGTATGTGCATGAGATAGGTGAGAAAAAAAAAGAAGAAAAAACTGTACCCCAAACTTGAGCTGTTATGAACATACTCTACATTCTGTGATAATACTTTAGACACCGGTCATCACTTCATTAGTTACCAGCCTGTTACCCTCTAGGTCACGTTCATGGCTCCATGCATGTGGCGATTTTGAAGTCAATAGCGGCCACAAGAGACTTCCCTGTTTCCTCACCTTCCTAACGACCATCTTTGTGTTTTGCCTTATAACCGCGTTGACAGCCTTGAGGTAGTTGCCTGAATCATGGTCTCTGAGGATGGTACCTTCTGAACCGTAGGCTGTAGGGTTCTTTAAAGTTTCCAGTGGGTGGGGGGAATTGAGGAAGGCACCGAGGGCATTGTTGGTAATGCTGCATTGAGTGTTTTCTAGGGCGCTTGAGGAGTAGGGCCACATGGTTGGGGTAGTTGCAAGCGAATGCTCGTGGGACAATATCTCTATGCATCATCACACAATGGACACGGTCCTCATCCAAGCCCAACTCGTTAAGAAACTTTTGGCCTCCACAGAACACGAACGGTGATCCAAAGGTAACAACTGGTCGCAGAACATTGGGCTTGACAACCTTCCTCGACAAGAGCATCAAGTTGACTAAGAGTGAAAGGCTACCGCCAAGAGAATGACCTGTGAATTGAAGCTTTGCCCGTTCCCCATGGTTAGTCAAATGCTCCATAATTTCCGGCATGAATTGCTCGTACATTCCCTTTGCAGCTTCATAAATTCCTCTATGAACAAGCGCTTCCGTCCCCTACAAGAAATACTAAATTGTTTATGAATGATTCTCTGGCTTCTCTCCTCTGCAGTGTTTCTGTCATCACCATGCTATTAAGAACTCAAGTGAAGTGCTAAGAGTTTCGCAATTGTGCTTACCTCGAATTTAGTGGGTTCAAAGAAGAGATTTGCCTGCCACGATGCTAGAGAGTCCGATCCCTGTAATTTGTGGATAAATAAAACGTCAAAAGTTGTGACGAGAAGGGAAAAAGTGTCGGATGAGGAAAGAATTGAAAACTTTTTGAAATTTAGATTTAGATTTAGACTTATTTGGAAATTTTATCAAATTAGAATTTAAATATTATGTTTAGTAACCGTCATTAGGTTTTCTTTAGAAATAGGCAATTATGTAATAGGTTTATACGGACTATGATATTTAATTGAGTTTTTGATATCAAGATCAAAGATTTTCGGGTTTTTATTTTTCTTTTATTTTACATTGACATTGAATATGAATGCAGCGATTACCTGGATGATGAAGTTGCGAGTATATGTGCTCGGATCATCACAAACAAACCATTCACAAGGCGATGAATGAAGCGATTGAAGGTCCCTTGCCGCCTCCTGTTTTTCTGTCTCACCTGCAGCGACCACTGCTGTCATAGTTGAAGCTGCCAAAGAAGCAGCCATCTCTGATTTGTATACTCGAGGTGACGAACTCTCTTCCTCTTGTCCGTGATCTTCATCACCATCTGATGCCACATCATTGCCTTCCTGTTCGGTTTCCGAGCCAAGGGATGAAAGGTCCTTGGTGTACGAGTGGACATATGATGCAGCTGAAGCAGCAATCTCATACGCAACAGTGGGGCGGTTTACACGTTTCTCGTCAGATATTCCTGCTTTCTCTGGATCAGATACAGTGGGAGCTGAGGCAGTCACAGGTACGCCATTGGTTTCCCTATCTGGTTTTGCTTTTAGTGCTTCTGCTTCTGCTTTCTTCTCTAAGGAAGATGTTACGAGGCGTAGACCATAGTATCGTCTTAAATCCTTAGCCTGCATGTTAATGGGATCAAACTACTTTATTTTTCTGAAAAACTGAAGCAAATTTACTAGGAAACGATATTTTCACCAAATATTATCATCTCCATCTGATATTTTATGAATTTATGTAAAACATTTGTGGAGAAGGACATGAAAAATGGAAATATATGGAGCATAGTATTCATTAGATGATACCCATACTTGCAGGCTGAGGTTGCACGGCTCGGTTTGGTTGAGTTATCAAAATTTATTTTCTAAGAAAATCTCAAAAAACTAGTTTGGTGATTTAAAAAAAATATAAATTAAAACACATTACTTTCATATGGACTTCTCTTTTTTGGGACAAAAATAATGTTTTGATGTTTATTTTTCTCAAACTAGTTTCAATTTTTCAAAAAACAAGTTGTGAAAACTTAACCAACCAGAGGTCCTAAAATACCACTGTGGCACATGCACGTAGATCTCCCGACTAATGAGACCTTGCAAAAGAGGAATAAATAGAGTCGATCTTGTCTGTTAGTCAATTGACCTATGTTGGTTTGGTTAGCTCTACCTGTTCTGTGACTAAAGCTTTATTGGTCCGAGATCATCATACTAACATGTTGAGTTGGTGCTCTCGACTAGGGCACTTAAGGTTAAGTATTTGATGCACAGTAATGGTAAAAATGTAGTAATAGTAATCTGACCAAGGTTGGTCAGTTTTTTTTTGTTTGTTTTTGAACAAAAGGTTGGCTTTATCTATTTCGTTAGTAGTGCTCTTATTGGTCCGAGAGCATGATACTGGCATGTTAAGTTGGAGTTCCGAGCTAGGGGGGCTTGAGGTTAAGTATTTGAACCATGTTAGGTGTCACTAGTTAAACAAGATTACAAGGAAAATTGATTCAACCATTGGCAATAATATTTTAGGGTTTAAGCAAAACGTACCTTTATCTCTGGTATCACATAAGCCATGTTGCACAGGAAGGCTAGCTGAGCTAAAAGCTTAGCATCAGACCACGGAACTTCAACCAACAACCTTGAGAATGACTCGCAATCAATTTTTGGCTTCCCCTCTTCATCTTCATCGCCATAGTCCGCTTCACAACCACCCTCATCTTCATCGCAATCTTGGTGGCTATCTGCATCGCCAGCCACTTCATCTTTCTGTTGCCTCTCTCTCCAATGGCTTCGAAGCTCCAGTAGCCTCTCGACCCAATTTGCTCTCTTTTTCACCTCCTCCTCGTCTTCGTCGCTCTCTGTTGTAGTCTCCGTTATGTTCATCTCCTCCTTACTCGTCTCTGTTATATTCATCTCCTTACTCGAATCTGTTATGTTCATTTCCTTACTCGTATCCGGATCAAATAGAAATGACCGAAGCGAGCTTGGGAAAATTGAACTGGACAACTTGAAATTGAATATCCCCATAGAATGGCTATTCTTTAGTTCTGGTTGCTGCGTTGTTGAGGCCCGAATTTGGTTGTAGTGAAGATGGTTGTCGGAATATGACCGTGTCATGATTTTGCATCGGTTACAGGCGATGCATGTGGAAGTAACCGTCGAGAACGTGAAAGTTTATATTTACTGTGTGGGACTTTTGTGTAGTTCATAAATTTTGTTTGATCATATGTATATGTGGATGTATATATATTCATATATGCCCCAGGCGATGCATGTGGAAGTAACTGTCAAGAAGGTAGAAATTTTAGAAATTACCTTTACTTGGATAATTGTTGACAATTGTGGAGGATAAATTTGAAAAGAACACCAATTGGGGTGTTTAGATATTGTAATAGTATAGATATTCTTCACAATGTCCCAATTTTTCCGTCTCATTTGTGATTCCTCTGTGTGCGTGTGTGTGCGTGTGTGTGTGTGTTTTTTTTTTTTTTGGAATTATTTTTAGATTTTCTGTGTTGAACTTTTGATCATATGTGTGGATGTATATATATATATATATATTCGTACACTGCAGCTTGATACAGGCAGTGTATGCGCAAGTAACAGTCAAGAACATGAAAGTCTTAGAAACTACCTCTACTTTGATAATTGTAAGCAATTGTGGAAGATGATTTTGAAAAGATCAGGGTGTTTACACATTCATAATTATAATAATATAGGTATTATTCTTCAAATTTTCTCAAAATTGTCTGACTCATTTGTGACACTGATTCCTGTTTTTCAATCATTACTAGTGGTGGGTGCAAACACAATCCGTTCTCAACTATATATACATACTCCCTCCGTCCCATAATATTAGTCCCCTATTCCATTTTTCATTGTCCCAAAATATTAGTCCCTCTTCAAAAATCAAGTACAAAAATAATATAAAATTCTTATTTTGCCCTTCTTTTAAATTCACAAATAATATAAAAAGTACAATTATGACATTGATATTCCAAAAAAAATGTACTATCAAAGGGTAATTTTGGAAAATCAACTTTTTTAAAGTACTACCAAAAAAAGTTGGATTCCCCAAAAGGGACCATTATTTTGGGAGAGAGGGAGTATATATTTTTGATGATTTGATGAATGGAGAAGATAAGTTAAATTTGATAACTCTTGGTAGTTATTTTATGAAACAGTTAACAAATATTGCCAATTTTGAAAAAATAAAAACCGGTACAAAGCTTCAAAACCTTGTGAGTTGTTCGCTTTATATAATAATATAGATTGTATATATACATATTTTTTTTGCTTTACTGTATTGAACTTTTGTTTATAGTTCATAACTTTTATTTGACCATATTTGCGGGTGTACCATGTACACATGCTTATACACACAATGCACGTGCAAGTAACTGTCAAGAATGTGGAAGTTTTAGAAATCACCTGTACATAATTGTAAGCAAGTTTGAAGGATGATTTTGAACATGAAAAGCGTTGCATACCATTGTTCACACAAAGTGTGTGTTACATATTATAATAGTATAGACATTGTTCAAGGTTTCAGAAATTCTTACCCACTCATTCGTGATTCTTGTTTTTTAATTATCTATACCATCTATACTATATTATTATTATATAAAGCAAAGGCTTTAGTTGGTGTCCTGAAGCCTTTGCTTCTCTTTATGCCAAGTGTCACATTTCTCTATGTGAAAAAAACAAAGCCTCACTTTGTATTCGAGGATGGGAGGACTTGAATCTAATATACGCTTACCAGTTGAGCAGCACACAACATATAGCGAATTTTTTGTTTTGTTTTGTTTTTATTTATTCGAATTGCACACGTATCACGTGTTCCAACCGCTAGATATTGTCATATGTGGGTGTACATAGATTCATATAGCCTATTGGTGTACACAATGCACAAAAGACTAGACTAGGAAGGCTAGCTACTAAGCTAGGTTCCAATCCTGATCACCTCTAAAAGAAATTTGCTGTTGAAGTTCTTACGAGACCATAACAAAAAAAAATTTGATAGAGATTTTCAATATAGACACTGACATGGGCAAAAAGGATCTTCATTACATCATTTAATGGTCTTAAAGCAGTCATGTGAATTTATCATTATCTCATATTAAGAAAAAACAATTATAATTATTAATGTGATTTTCTATAGTCGTGATGAAATGGAGATCCCCCATTACAAGAAGAGGATCTCAATCTTATATAGAGGGCACGTGAGAGGCGAATGTCCATTTTGAGATGTGTATCATAAAATTTGCAATATATGTTTATATATGTAAATATATACATATATATATATATATATTTTTGATAAATTGTTTATATATGTATATATACTAGAAGGGTAAGCACACTACGTGTGCAATCAGAATGATTATGGTAGTTGTGAATCTCTCTCTGTATGTTATTCTTTGTGAGTCTGTATATTTGTCCATAACTGCTCTTGTGGGTATATAAAGGTAGTTATACAGAGCTATAAGGGGTATTTAGGAATAGGGCAAAACCGTGACATAAACACCAAGTCAAGCCTTTGCTTTGTATGATAGAATAGAAGAATAGATAGAATGGATATATATGATTTTTAGTTTTCCATATAAAGAGAGAACTCTTTAACAAATTATCAGTTCTAGCTAGTTATCAAACATCACCAGCTAACTTCCGGTTTCTATATGTGTGCTTGTGTCCAATTTTGTTTACTTATTTTTATGATGGGTAAATATAACCGCACCTTTTGATTGGTTCTAGTACTTTGGTTCTTTTATTAAAAGCTTATCCTTAATTTAATAAATTACCCAACCTATACTTCATGCTATTGCTCTCTTTCATCACACATCGCTGACTTTGACACTAGAGGACAACAATTTGCTTTTCCAACCTGTGTCAAACAACTCTGTCAATGAGAGCTCTTGGGAGTCATCAGCCTATTATCCCCGGCCTACCTTTGATCTGTTGAGCGATAACCCGTCCACACAGGACTCCCGGATCACTATGGCCGACTTTTGTCTTTGTTCAACTAGTCGGGTCTCACATTTAGGTAGGCTTATACCATTATGCTCAAAGGTAGAATCTTAGCTTCAGCCTACCTTCGCACACCTCAGTTACTCTTTAGGGGATAATTTTGAAAAGGAAAAGCGGTAAGTACCACGTTCACACTAACTGGGTGTTTACACATTATAATAGTTGACATTGTTCAAAATTTCCCATTCGTGATTCTTGTTTCTTTAATTATTTTATTGTTATTATTTTTAGCTTTATTGTCTTGGACTTTTGTGTAGTGCATGGTAATTTTTATTTGATCATATACATGGGTGTACATAGATTCATACTAGCCTAGCCGCGTACGCAATACATGTGTAAGTAATCATCAAGAACATGAAGAACATGAGAGTTTTAGAAACTCTCTCTACTTTGATAATTGTAAGCAATTGTGGAGGATAATTTTGAAAAGAAAAAAGCGTTACACAAGTCATTCAAACCAACCGGCTTGCTGGATGTCTTTCGTGGCAGAAGATACAGTGCCAGCAGTTGTTCCATAGCTTTTTGTCGTGCCTTGCTCCTGTTTATGTGGTCATTAAGAGGCAACTAGATACTTTATTCAATAGTTTTAAGCATCGTAGTAGTATCTCCTATTACTCTAAATATGGTTCTTTCTATTTCATGCAATCGTTTGTTTTCGTTGAACATGTTCTTTTTCTATTCCTCACACTCGTAGTTAAGGGAAAATCCTCCACTCATGCTTAAATCTATTCCACATGGTGTGTACAATTTTCTTTTGTTTTATTCAGCCAATTCACTAATTTTGTCCCAGTTTTTGATTAGATGCTTGATTATTCTGATCTAGTTCAGATTTTCTTTTTCTAGAAGTCATTGAGAGCTGTTTTTGTTGGTAAAATTCATTTACGTATATCATATCATATATGAATGCTTTGTTAATTATGCAATCTAGGAGGACTAGGACTTGCTGTGCCTTTTAGATTTTTCAACTGTGTTTTTCAGATTTTCGTGAGGAGAAATGGGTTACACTACAGTTTATATTAGTAAGAGTTGAAAGATAGGTTCATTTGTAACTACTACGTTTACTAAAGTATTTCTTTTTATTTTTTGATAATTTTGAATGGCCAATAAAATCTTGTAACTGTTCAGCATTCCATTTGACTGCATGTGTTTGGACAATTTGTATTTCTTGATGACAACTCATTAATTGGACAATGGCAAAAATTTCGATGATAAGGTTGTGTTAGTTTTTTTATTTTATTTAAGTTTATTTTTAAAATTCATGTTGTATGTATTTATGGCCTTATTGAATTTGTTCTGCAATATTTGAAGTCAGAGAATTAAATATTAGAGGCCATTAAATGAAATTTATTTGTTTGTAGTATAACTTAATAGTCTTAAACACCTATCAAATCCTTGGGAATTTTGTTGATAAATTACTGTAGCAACAACAAATTGCACTAACATACCAAACTTGAGATTGTAACCAACCCAACAATGAAAGTTCATAGCAAGAGACAAAAAAGATACAAATAGAAGCTAGACATGGAGGATACACAATGCACGAGCCATGTTTGGGTTTCTGTGGTAGATGATTATTCATTATCAGATGCACTTAATTGGAAAACCACTCAACATGTGTGAACATGGATTATTCTATTTTCATTTTGTAGCCTATGGAGAAAATGCAACTTGTAATATTGCATGGTTACAAACGCCAATACGAAACAAGGAATGCTAGGATCATATAAATGTTATTGATGAATGAGGGAAAATTTGTCACTTCATTCTTATTATGTGAATATTTTGTTAATGCTTACAAATTTTCGAAGTGCATGTCGAATATCTAATTCTAGTGTCTGTCTGGATTAATTGGAGGTGAATTGAGATGATTCCATGTTTACTTTGATCCAAGTAGGAAGTATCTGTCTGGCTTATATCACTTGAAAAAAGTAGGGATTGAAGTAGGGAAGCTGAGTAACAACTTAGACAGATTTATCTAGTATGTTGATTATGGAATTAAATGCTGAAATCTGGGATATTTTGTTGAGAATCACCTTTACTGTAATGTCCTGAATTGGTATTGCAGCGAACAACTTACTTAAAATGCCTTGCCTACATGATATTTGCTGTGACTATTACGGAGATTTTTATCTTTGCAGACCCAGGCTTGATTTTGTCTTCACTAATATCAGTTGCCATACACTTCTAGGAATGGAGTATATGATTTCAAAATTGCATCCACAGGATTCTTTCCCTTCTGGTCTCAATTGTTTTGTAGAGTTTAGAGAATTGTGTGTTTGTATAAAGATACAGTGGTATAGCTTGTTAATGTATACTATACACCCTCAATTTCAGTTCTTTTTCTAAATATATTTTACTTATCTAAAACAAGAAATGACGATGTGATGTTATGCAATTATATTGTATAAGTTCTATGTTCAGTCCTAGAAGGTTGTATGTGGGTGGGCAGATTTAAATTCAAAGGGATTTTGGATTCCAATTTGCAATTATATAGGACGATTATTTTGGAGACCTAAGGAGGTGGATAAAATAAAATTCATTAGAGTGGTGATATACAAACAGAAAATATATATTATACATAATGAGTGAGCTGGGTTTTGAGCCTATCGCTTTAGAACAAAGAGCCCATTGACGTGCCTTTAATTACACAAATGGCACTGTTACATCATTCTGGTGCAAAATCCGGAATAAATGTTCTGGTGTGTTAAGTTATGTACTTGAGGGTATTAGTGTCATTGTACTTATTCTCTTATTATTATAAATACAAGTGCTTAGTGAGGTAAAAAACCTAATTAGGTTTAGTGCCTCTTCCAGCAAATCTCTCTCTCTCTCAACTATTATGCTACAGTTTTAACTTGGTATCAGAGCAGGTTCTTATTCTTTGTTCTTCTATTTTTTTTCTTTATTTTTTATTCTTTTATTCTTTCTGTTCCTGTCGCATAATGTAAAAAAAATAAAAAAATAAAAAATCCCTACCATGATTGACTAGGACGGGGGGGGGGTTCTCAGAAAAGTTTTCAAAAATTTTTGTTCTTGGTTGCTAAAAAATTTATTCTTTTTTTTTTTTTTTTTTTTTTCTTTCTTTGTTTTTGGAATAGTAGGCCTATTTTTTCGATTTCTGCCTTCTGCTGTTTTTGCTTCAATCCAACCCTTAGGCTTCCTTCTCTAGCAGCCGTATCTGGATGGTGTTTGATTGATTTTCAGCCCCTCGGTGCTTCGGTTGATTGCTTTTGGGTCTCCACAGGCTTGTTTTTGGTCTCCTGCTTCAGTGTGATTGTCTTTTTTGCCCTATCCTTGCTGCTGTTATTGGGTTGTGGCTGGATTATTCTTTGGGTGTGCTCACATTTTTTAGCATTTTTCAAATGGTTATGATCCTTGTGCATCTAGAAATCCGTTTTGGCATGTAATTTTTTTTTGGCAATTATTGTATCACTATCTTTTTGTGAAATTGGATTTTTTTCATTTCCATTTGGTACAGTTGCTCAATTACAGCAGTAGAATATGGTTTAGAAGGGGATTATATTAAATGCTTCTTTAGCTCTTTTTCTTTACTTGTTTTAGTTTATTGCCATGTTGCACATATTTTTTCACATTATAAGCCTTTTAACTCTCTCTCTCTCTCTCTCTCTCTCTTCCTTTGGTTCACAGCATCATGCCAAGTACGAGAAATGCTTCATATGCAACAAGTATACCAATGGCATATTCAACACCGCTTATGAGATAAAGAAAAAGATGGCTGCCAAGGGAGTGTAAATAATGTTGCTGAGCGTGGTATTGGGTTACGGCTTGCTGAGCATGGTATTTGGTTACGGCTTGCTGAGCGTGTTACTGGGTTATGGCTTTGGTATGTACGTGGAGTACCCCACTCACTGAATGGTGCAAGTCAACTTTTCACCTGATCTTCCTTGATGGTATTAGATTCAGAATTACATTGAAATGCATGTATACATCCACAACTGAGCTAGTGTAATCTGATTTCCACAATGATAAGCATTTTGTACAAATTCAGGCATGCGAGTTGATTGTCAGATCTTTTCCTTTTTTCCTTTATAGATTTGGAATTCTTTTTTTTTTTTGTTTTCTTTTCCTTTTCTGTTCACAATCGTATGCATAGTAAATGTGCTTTGTTAGATAGTGTACACCGTCATCCAAGCCCTGGATCTTTGGTTCAGTTAGGAGGTGAAGTATTTGTTTTGGTCCAATTAAGTGTTAACTGATAACGCTAGAGTTTTACATTTTAGAACACATTTTTAGAACACACATTCTGAAACCAGATTCATTTTCATTCCAAAATAGAAATTTAGCGATGCAAAGTGATCTCAAATTCTTCCTATATATTTTGTGAAGAGTTTCTCATATAAAGAGGAATTTTTTTTTTCCAAATATAATGAACTAAAATTTAGACTGGTCATAATACTTTTAGAATTGTGTTTTTACATGATTAATTCTAGAATTATGTTTTTACACGATTAATTCTAGAATTATATTTTCACATGATTAATTTTCAAATTGTGTTTTTACACTATCAATTCTAGAATTGTGTTTGCAAAGCTGCTTGTAGACGTGTTCTGTAAGCAGATGAGAACACTCGCAAAATATTTCTGATATGTAAACCATCTTGTGAGTGTAGTTTGCGTACAAGTATATATATATACATGTCATTGGAAGTGTGAGCAACTGTACCTTTATAAATTTGTGGATAACAAACGTATACAATTGTCACTAGGAAGTGTAGGCAACGTATGTACATGAGATAGGTGAGAAAAAAAAAGAAGAAAAAATTGTACTCCAAACTTGAGCTGTTATGAACATAATCTACATTCTGTGATAATACTTTAGACACCGGTCATCACTTCATTAGTTACCAGCCTGTTACCCTCTAGGTCACGTTCATGGCTCCATGCATGTGGTGATTTTGAAGTCAATAGCGGCCACAAGAGACTTCTCTGTTTCCTCACCTTCCTGACGACTATCTTTGTGTTTTGCCTTATAACCGCGTTGACAGCCTTGAGGTAGTTGCCTGAATCATGGTCTCTGAGGATGGTACCTTCTGAACCGTAGGCTGTAGGGTTCTTTAAAGTTTCCAGTGGGTGGGGGGAATTGAGGAAGGCACCGAGGGCATTGTTGGTAATGCTGCATTGAGTGTTTTCTAGGGCATAGAGGGCACTCCCTGGAGGGAGTAAAGGGTGAGGAGGAGATGTCTTCTCGTCGGGTTGGAGAATGAATATTTTACCCATAGGAGAGTACAATAGTTTCTGCGTAAACAATAGCATGTGTAAAGTAGAATTAGATTGCCAATTGAATCTAAACGAAAAATTATGAACCTTCCTCTTAGGACGATTGTAAAACGAACCGAGTTTCTCGAGTTTGACTCGTTAAAAGCTGGTTTGAGATCGGTTCATTAGGTAAATAAATCAAATTTGAACACATTTTGAAGTTAGCCAAGTTTTCAAGCCAAGCTTGAAAAACTTATTACTCGGTTGAACTTGGTTATGTGCTATTTAAAAAACCAAGTTGCTCAAGCTCAACTTGTGATCGGCTCGATTAAGGTTTGTTAGAATTCAACTCGAAAGGTAAACAATTAATGTTGAACACATTTTGAAACTTGTTAAGTTTTCAAACACGTTAAGTTTAAGGAGTTGTGAGATGAGAGTTACCTTCTTATTCAGACAAGGGTGGGATCGGAAAGAGCCATTCAAATGCTTGAGGAGTAGGGCCACATGGTTGGGGTAGTTGCAAGCGAATGCTCGTGGGACAATATCTCTATGCATCATCACATAATGGACACGGTCCTCATCCAAGCCCAACTCGTTAAGAAACTTTTGGCCTCCACAGAACACGAACGGTGATCCAAAGGTAACAACTGGTCGCAGAACATTGGGCTTGACAACCTTCCTCGACAAGAGCATCAAGTTGACTAAGAGTCAAAGGCTACCGCCAAGAGAATGACCTGTGAATTGAAGCTTTGCCCGTTCCCCATGGTTAGTCAAATGCTCCATAATTTCTGGCATGAATTGCTCGTACATTCCCTTTGTAGCTTCATAAATTCCTCTATGAACAAGCGCTTCCGTCCCCTACAAGAAATACTAAATTGTTAATGAATGATTCTCTGGCTTCTCTCCTCTGCAGTGTTTCTGTCATCACCATGCTATTAAGAACTCAAGTGAAGTGCTAAGAGTTTCGCAATTGTGCTTACCTCGAATTTAGTGGGTTCAAAGAAGAGATTTGCCTGCCACGATGCTAGAGAGTCCGATCCCTGTAATTTGTGGATAAATAAAACGTCAAAAGTTGTGACGAGAAGGGAAAAAGTGTCGGATGAGGAAAGAATTGAAAACTTTTTGAAATTTAGATTTAGATTTAGACTTATTTGGAAATTATATCAAATTATAATTTAAATATTATGTTTAGTAACCGTCATTAGGTTTTCTTTAGAAATAGGCAATTATGTAATAGGTGTATACGGACTATGATATTTAATTGAGTTTTTGATATCAAGATCAAAGATTTTCGGGTTTTTATTTTTCTTTTATTTTACATTGACATTGAATATGAATGCAGCGATTACCTGGATGATGAAGTTGCGAGTATATGTGCTCGGATCATCACAAACAAACCATTCACAAGGCGATGAATGAAGCGATTGAAGGTCCCTTGCCGCCTCCTGTTTTTCTGTCTCACCTGCAGCGACCACTGCTGTCATAGTTGAAGCTGCCAAAGAAGCAGCCATCTCTGATTTGTATACTCGAGGTGACGAACTCTCTTCCTCTTGTCCGTGATCTTCATCACCATCTGATGCCACATCATTGCCTTCCTGTTCGGTTTCCGAGCCAAGGGATGAAAGGTCCTTGGTGTACGAGTGGACATATGATGCAGCTGAAGCAGCAATCTCATACGCAACAGTGGGGCGGTTTACACGTTTCTCGTCAGATATTCCTGCTTTCTCTGGATCAGATACAGTGGGAGCTGAGGCAGTCACAGGTACGCCATTGGTTTCCCTATCTGGTTTTGCTTTTAGTGCTTCTGCTTCTGCTTTCTTCTCTAAGGAAGATGTTACGAGGCGTAGACCATAGTATCGTCTTAAATCCTTAGCCTGCATGTTAATGGGATCAAACTACTTTATTTTTCTGAAAAACTGAAGCCAATTTACTAGGAAACGATATTTTCACCAAATATTATCATCTCCATCTGATATTTTATGAATTTATGTAAAACATTTGTGGAGAAGGACATGAAAAATGGAAATATATGGAGCATAGTATTCATTAGATGATACCCATACTTGCAGGCTGAGGTTGCACGCCTCGGTTTGGTTGAGTTTCAGAATTTGTTTTCTAAGAAAATCTCAAAAAACTAGTTTGGTGATTTAAAAAAAATATAAATTAAAACACATTATTTTCATATGGACTTCTCTTTTTTGGGACACAAATAATGTTTTGATGTTTATTTTTTTCAAACTAGTTTAAATTTTTCAAAAAACAAGTTGTGAAAACTTAACCAACCGGAGGTCCTAAAATACCACTGTGGCACATGCACGTAGATCTCCCGACTAATGAGACCTTGCAAAAGAGGAATAAATAGAGTCGATCTTGTCTGTTAGTCAATTGACCTATGTTGGTTAGGTTAGCTCTACCTATTCTGTGACTAAAGCTTTATTGGTCCGAGATCATCATACTAACATGTTGAGTTGGTGCTCTCGACTAGGGCACTTAAGGTTAAGTATTTGATGCACAGTAATGGTAAAAATGTAGTAATAGTAAGTTGACCAAGGTTGGTCAGTTTTTTTTTTTTGTTTTTGAACAAAAGGTTGGCTTTATCTATTTCGTTAGTAGTGCTCTTATTGGTCCGAGAGCATGATACTGGCATGTTAAGTTGGAGTTCCGAACTAGGGGGGCTTGAGGTTAAGTATTTGAACCATGTTAGGTGTCACTAGTTAAACAAGATTACAAGGAAAATTGATTCAACCATTGGCAATAATATTTTAGGGTTTAAGCAAAACGTACCTTAATCTCTGGTATCACATAAGCCATGTTGCACAGGAAGGCTAGCTGAGCTAAAAGCTTAGCATCAGACCACGGAACTTCAACCAACAATCTTGAGAATGACTCGCAATCAATTTTTGGCTTCCCCTCTTCTTCTTCATCGCCATAGTCCGCTTCACAACCACCCTCATCTTCATCGCAATCTTGGTGGCTATCTACATCGCCAGCCACTTCATCTTTCTGTTGCCTCTCTCTCCAATGGCTTCGAAGCTCCAGTAGCCTCTCGACCCAATTTGCTCTCTTTTTCACCTCCTCCTCGTCTTCGTCGCTCTCTGTTGTGGTCTCCGTTATGTTCATCTCCTCCTTACTCGTCTCTGTTATATTCATCTCCTTACTCGAATCTGTTATGTTCATCTCCTTACTCGTATCCGGATCAAATAGAAATGACCGAAGCGAGCTTGGGAAAATTGAACTGGACAACTTGAAATTGAACATCCCCATAGAATGGCTATTCTTTAGTTCTGGTTGCTGCGTTGTTGAGGCCCGAATTTGGTTGTAGTGAAGATGGTTGTCGGAATATGACCGTGTCATGATTTTGGCTCGGTTACAGAGGTTCTTCCAGGAAAGAATCCGGCAAAGACCATTATGTTCTTTGAATGTATTGTTAGGTACTGTTGGGACTGGAGAAGTGGTGGTTATGGACATTGAAGTACATGCCATGATCACAATTCTCACCTTGAGGTGCCTGAAAAATGAAACAATTTTTTTAGATAGACCCCTCCCCCTCTCTCTCTCACTCTCTCTCTCTCTCTTCTTGAGGAGTTCTTGGAACCAAAGGACGGAAAAACAAGGGACTTTATAAAAGATACCGAAGGTGACAAAGTAACACCTTGTTTACAACGAGAGCAAATAGGGATGATACCATTTTACATCGTAACATACGTAGTCTCTGTTCAAATGACTACTAATTAACTCCGTAATTTGAACTGTTTCATCAACTCTGTACTCTGTTACAAATGCTTTGATTTAAATGATTGACTGACATTAATCAGACGGCTGAGCTGCAACCCAACATATCATGGTCATAAACCTAAGGTTTGACCATTAAACAAAATGTTCACATGGGCGCCACGTACCATTTTTCATTTAAAAAAACGTAGACTATTTAAGCTTTAACGGAGGTAGGGTGTGCCTATTCGTTGGTGGTTAACAAGCATTGATGAGCTGATGACCTGTAATAGGGGATAGCCCACTCATAGCATGTCCGAGGCCTGACTTTGATACCAATTTACCAAAACTTTAAAATATTCACATATTAAATTTTGAAAGAATGCATAATATTTTTGGGCCCAAATGTCTAAGCGCGTTACATGTCTTGCTACTTCTTGGTATATATGATAGATGGATTTTTGAACAATTCGGAATTTTAGGTGGGATCATTATGAGGGATTTGTAAATCGGATTAAGGATAATAAAATTTTACTTTCAATACAAATTAAATAAAAAATTACTGATAATGATAATGTCGGAGACATTAGAAAAAGCAATTTGTCGAATTTTTTTCCGTATATATGTATACATACGAATATATAAGATAAGAAATATATAATTAAAAGAAATGGTAGGATTGAGATTATTGTAGAATTGGGATTATAATCATTTCGAGATCATACTAAATTTAAGATTCTAATGTGATCTGGAATGTTTGGCCCAATTTAAGTCACATAATCGTAATTTCTTACGATGTGAATTGGGATTCTAATAACAATGCAGATTGGGATTCTAATAACAATGCAGATGAGTATTTGACAACAAAAATGAAAGAGTAATGGTAGGTGATCATATTTGGGTACTTAACCAACAACATTATGTGATGAATTTTACTTTTCTATTTACATTTTATCCAACATGATGCAATTAATGGTTTTGTTTGGTATAACTTATTGTGTTGCTTATATATTATATATATGAGATTGATCATATTACTGATATTAATACATATCTTATACCATTATTTAAAATTATGTAACGAATACATATCTTATACCATTATTTAAAATTATGAAACAAATTATTTATAATTTTTTTTTATGGTGTCTACATTTCCTTTAAAAATTGATCATAACTTGCGCGACAAAGCAACCTCATGCAAGTAGCGTGACTATCTTTGATCACTTCATGATCAAGGCAATGATCCATTGATGATTTATGTCATAAAGGAAAGTGTATATATATATAATCAATGCGTACAAACACGATGTGTTTGATAAATAAGAAAAATTATTTAGCAGTTATTGAATCTTTCAGTTAGTAGAAAACAAAAATAAGGTCTGGCTGTTGATATCAAGGTGAAGAAATTTAACTTTTAGTTCTAGTGCGTTTTAAACTAAGATCTCCTTGCTATTAGAGTTCGTCCTTACCACCCAGCCTCACCTAAACAATATTTTATCAAACACGAGCATTAGAAGAAACCGAGTAAGACAAGACAAACAGAGGTGCACCGAAATAATAATAAAAACATAGGTAGTAACTACGCTCAAGTAATAATCATCATCATCTTAGATATTTACATCTCTACATAAATTTTCCTCTCATCTTCATTCGTATATATACCATTCTTGCACAACCCCAAACACAACTTTATGGAGTGAATTCAAGTGACATTTATTTGAAATGAGAAATGTTATATGTAGCATTTTGTATTTTTATTTATATAAATATAAAAATAATAATATCTCGTCACATACTCTAGTAACATAAATATAATTTAAAAAGCTAATTATATATAGCAGTTCAATATTTAAATCATACTAGACAAACAAAAAATTATAGAACATTTTTATACAAAATATAGAGAGATTACGAACTCAAAATTAATATCCAAAAATAACTTTTATGACTTAAATTTATTTCATATATAAACTCACACTTTACCAATTTAATCTCCATCACTAGACATAAAACTGAGTTGATGGAATTACTCTACAAAATAACATGACTAAATTTGAACCTTGTAATCTTTTCTTACAATAAGTAAGAGAGAAATAGTAAAACGAGAAGTTGGATAAGACTCGAAAGTAGATATCACTTATGAGAAGAAAACGCTTCATTCACCTGGCCAACTCATTAGACCTGAACCTTTTAAAATAAGAACAACCAATAAAATAACTTTCAATTAAAAAAATAATTAAATAACATCACCACATTATTTGGGGATTTTTTAAAAAAATATATTTTTTGTAAGATTAGAATTTTATTTGGCCAAGCACTACCAATTGTATATAGAAAAATAATACATATCATTAAATAAATCATCAAGTTCTCTTTTTTAATTGATTTGCACATGACAAATGACACTTATATATGTAAGTTCTAAATGGAGTATATACATACATTCGTTGAATAAATTCACATAGAAAAATTAATGAAAGTCATCCAAAAATAAATAGCAGGTGACTTGGTATATTTTTCTCACCTAACATATCTTTATCACTCTCTGTACATGTCTAGGAATAATCGTTGTAAAAGTATTGGGAAAACAAAACTCTCTGAAACTCATGAACACTTCTACAAAATTCGGAAATATCAATGGAATAATATCTCATGGTAATATTCCTCGAAGAAGTGGGGGTTGTTTGGTTTGGGAAGAAGTTTTTTTTAGCTTTTTAGGTTAAAATAGTTCTAAAAGACAAAATAAGTTATAATAGTTAATAAAATAAAATGTTGCATCAAACTTATAATCATTTCATTTTTTCTCTCATAAACATCATATCTAATTACAAAAAAATTCAATCATTTTCTAAAATACAAAAATTTTAACTTACTAAAATAGCTAAAAATTATAATAGTTTATGAAAATAGCAATTTTCCAAACGATGTGCCATTTTGGGAACATAGTAAAAAGTCACGTTTTTGGACAAAATGTCTTATCCAAAAATGCAAGTGTCAAAAACGCCAGAAAATTGGTTTGGCAAGTGCTAAAAACGCAGGTGTAAAATTACAAATTAGGACCTATGAAAAAAAAATAAAAAAAAAAATTTCTTATGTTGGGTAAGGGTATTTTGGTCATTTTAATTTGATTTGACACCATAAATAAATACAAAAAACTTGATAAAAAGTCAAAAATTAGCTTTTTACCAATAACACTGAAAAAATAAAGAGGGGAAATGGCAGCCACATAGATCGGAGTGGTTATTGGATGCTTCTAGAGCATCATGTGTTTCAAGACTAATCATCATATACCATATCTTCTTATGTTATTTAATCATCTGGTATGAAATTATTGACCCTATTATTTCTACCAATCACAACACCTTGGAGCACCATGTGGCCGTGTTCAAGGAGCAACCAATAACCACTCCTATGGAAAAACTATTCAATGAGAGGGTATGGTGTATGATGATACGTGACACTCCAGAAGTGTTGAATAGTTTTTTTATAAGAAAATCGAATCAACTCCAAAAATTTGAGTCTGTGAGCTCAGATCGTGTCAATATTTTCTCTGTACTTGCAGTTATTTGTTTGAAATTAAAATAGAAGACATTATTTTAATTTTAAACTTGAAACGTTGAATTATGCTTTTCGCTGGTGTGTTTTAAAAATCACAAGAAGATTATTATAGAAAAAAAATAACAGAGAATTCAAGCTCTAAGAAATAAGTCTCTTCCCTAAGGTTCTATTTCTTTTGTATTGAAAATAACAAAGAATAGGGTGAAATACACTGCTAGCCTGTTTTGAGCAAAGTTTTACTTTGATCTCTTTAATTTTAATTTTTAAAAATTCAAAATTTAAATTCTATACTTTCAATTTCATTTTAATACGTCATTAGCATTTTGAATGAAAGAAAAGGGCACAATAGGCATTTTTGTAATTTGGTGTAAGAAAAAAAAAATTACATATCAATGGTTCTTATAGTTTCTTTTTGAATCCACTTTTGGTCTACTTTTTGAGATGTTTTTTTGTCCAAAATAATATAAAATGTCATTTTCGGGCCCAAAATAATAATGATTACTGGTAGATGAATTACATGAAAATACAATTAGGAGAGTTTAATTGATAAAATTAAAACTACATAGGTCAAAATGAAATCTTACGAAAACTATTCCGTAGTGTTTAATCATTGGAATGAACGTGAAAGTCCACTAAAAAATATTAGGCAATTCTTTCCATCACTTTTTCACTGGGGTCGGCAAAATGCCAACGGTAACCTCTTTGGTAAACAAATAAAAGACAAGAAAAAAGATACATTATACATAAGCATAAATAGAAAATTATTCAAATAGTGACATAATAACTTTCCAAGATAAAATAACCAACAACATTTTTTTTTTATTTATAAAAATTCATTTAGAATGATGTAATATTTTTGAAATTATGAATTATGATTTTTTTTTGTTTGAAAATTTCATTCATACAAATTTTTTATGTGTAAAAATTATTTATTTATTTATTTTCTCAGTGCAGACCATCCCATTATGCACACAACCTCTATTGTGTGTAGAAGAATGAAAAAGTCAACCTAAAAAAAATGTGTATAGTAAAGAGTAAAAAATTGTGTAATTTATATTTTCTGTTGTGTTAAAATGTGTATATATTCTCCAAACATGAAGGTGTAATTTACCCTTTTTTAATTACTTTTCTGAACATAACAACGCTATAATATTTTCTCTAAAAAAAATATTAAAAAAAACCTGTTTGGTTTAGAGTTTTCAAAAACAATTTTCTTGAATTTTCTTTTTGTGTTTTTATATTTTTAATGATTTTTTGAAATATTTTAATTTTAATCAATTTTTTTACTTTTTAAATTTACTTAATCCCGATTTATTAGAAAATGTAAAATTTGTACAATTTTTTTTAAAGAAAATTTATTGAATACAATAAAATATAAAAATATACTAAATGTTTGTAATTTTTTTAATATTTTTTGTATTTGGTGATTTTTTTTTTAAAAAGTCACAAAATATTATACTTTTTAAGTATATCTAGATTAGGTGTATCTAAAAAATAAAAAATAAAAATTGCCTAAAATATTAAAAAAATCAGTAAAAAAAAAACATGAAAAATAAAAAAACTCAATTTTTTGGGTGAGTTAAACCAAAGAAGGTGATTGTTATTTCCATTGAAATGACATGAACAAAATGTATGTATTATTTTTGTAACGCCCTCAAAATAATAACATTAAACCCATCAAATAAGACATGCATTGACATATGAACTAGCCACATTCTTTTATTCATATTTTGTCTATTTATAAAATAAAAAAATTATGTAAAATATTTAAAAAAATTATTAAAAACAAAAAATATGAAAAACAAATAATTTTTTTAAAAAGAGAGTTAAACCAAATTATATAATATACTATTATATAAAATATACACTGTTTTTTTGAGAAGCTGATAAAAAGTCAGTTTTTTATCAATTTTGGGTCACATTACCTCTCACATAATTTACTCACAAAAAGATAAAATAAGTTAAAAAAGTCAAAAAATTAATTTTTTATTAACTTTTCAAAACACCTCACAATTTAAAAGAAGCTTTGTCACGACATTTGTACACCTAATTCTGAGATATCAAATGTCACACATAGTAAAGCATTTATCACACAATTTTCATTTCCAAAAAAAAAATCAAAGCAACAACATAATATTCTGTACTTCTTTCGTTTCAAATTGTTTGTTCAGAATGAAAACGATAATGGTACATGTATTAATTAATGTATTAATTAGTATGTTGACATTAATTATTATATTATTATTGACTCCACTCATTAGATAAATTACAAATATTAAAAATTTCTTAAATTATGCAATATCATCAATTGGTATATTAGTTAGTACACTAATTGGTACATATAACATTATTCAAATGAAAACAAGAATTTAAAACTTATTTTTTATTTTTCGTGCGGAACAAAAAATTTGAAATAGAGGTAGAGTTATCTTTGGTTAAATGTTATTGTAAGTATTTATCAAAAAAAAAAAGAAAAAGAAAAAGTTAAATGTTATTTTAAGGACCAAAACATAAAATTAATAAAAAATTTTTTTTGCCACTATCACACACAAAACTCTCTCCACGCTACTCTCAACCACTATCTCCAAAACCGTTTCAATTGCACTGCACACGTTAGTCCTCTTCAAATTCAAATCACAATACCTGAAAACTTCAAGAACTTTCAATCAGATATGTTGATCGAATTGTTTCGGCAGACTACGAAGTGCACGGTGGAGATTGCTTCTTAAGATCTGTAGAGAACACACAAATTAATCACACAAATCGGCGCGACAACTCCACACGAAACTCACATTCATCTCATCTCTATTCTGAGAGTGAGAGAGAGCAGTATACGCATATGTATAATTCAGAGCTGAGTTTAAACAAGTCTCTGCTACGTTGCGAGTTCATTCAATTCACTTTTACATAAATATATATATATATATATATACACTTCGAATAGCCATTGATATTCGAAATTCAAATCACAATACCTGAAAACTTCAAGAACTTTCAATCAGATATGTTGATCGAATTGTTTCGGCAGACTACGAAGTGCACGGTGGAGATTGCTTCTTAAGATCTGTAGAGAACACACAAATTAATCACACAAATCGGCGCGACAACTCCACACGAAACTCACATTCATCTCATCTCTATTCTGAGAGTGAGAGAGAGCAGTATACGCATATGTATAATTCAGAGCTGAGTTTAAACAAG